ATGGCTCCGGGGAGCGGAAGATGCGTATAGTTGTCAATTACCAGGCTCTAAATGCCCTTACGATAGCCCCTGATTTTCCACTACCTCCCATTCAAACCATTCTGGAGATGCTGGGAGGCGTCAAGTATTTTTCCACCTTGGATCTTGAAGCAGGTTTCCATCAAATACGTATGGCTAAGCAAGACCGGTGGAAGACGGCTTTCCGGTCCGTTCTCAGACTATTTGAGTACCAAGTGATGCCCTTCGGCCTTAAGGGTGCTCCCGCTACGTTCCAGGCCAGCATTAATGCCTATCTACAACTTTCATTAGGACAGGGCGTTATTGCGTACCTAGCTTATCTATAGTCCCGATCTTTCTGGGCAAGTTTCTCTCCTGCGACAAGTCCTAAGTATTTTTGATAGACATCAATTCTACCCTAAATTCCGCAAATCTGTGTTGGGTTCCGGCGGCGCAGGTGAAGGTGCGGACGGCATGTTGCGTCGTCTAGGTCGTTGCGAACGAAGTCCGGCGAGCTCCCTGTAGTTGGGAGGCCGACCACGAGAGCGGGGAGCCGCGCTCGCTTGTCCTATTGCCAGCATCAGTGGTACCGATGGTGTGTCGTGCAAGCAGGTGTTAGGAAGGCCGGGACGGCGAGACAAGGCATCGGCAACTTGACTGGGCGCTCTTTGAACATACGTGATGTGCAAATCCGGGAACTCCGCAAGAAAGTCTAGTCACCGGGCGGTGCGTCCGCGCAGAGGCTTGGATGCTTGGAGGCATTGGAGATGGGTGAGAACTTGATGATCAGTGTAAGCCGTTACCTTGGAGACACGGAGCAAGTGCGACCACTTCTCCAGTGCCATGACCAACTTCAAGAGTTCCTGGTCGTAGATCGAGTATTTCTGTTGCGTGAGGTTCATGACTTGGCTGAGGAAGCCGATGGGTCTGCCGTCTTGTTCCATAACTGCTCCGATTGCGTAACCAGAGGCGTCTGTGTACAACTCGAAGGGTTTCGTGGTGTCAGGAACTTGTAATGTAGTGAAGTCGGTTAAGCGCTGTTTGAGCTGCCGCACCGCTTGCGTGTGAAGCTCTGTCCATTTGAAACTAACATCTTTACGCGTAAGATCAACCACCGGCCGGGCGACGTCTGCAGAGCCCGGTCCCATGAACATATGACAGTAATTTATGGTACCGGAGGAACTGGAGCTCCAGCATCTCGTTCTCCAGCACCTCTGGCCAATGCCGTATGGCTTCGATTTTGTCTTCTGCAGTTTTGATCCCCGCAGCAGAAATGGTATAACCCAAATATGTAGTTGATTGCCTTGCAAACTTGCATTTGCGGAATTTAGGGTAGAATTGATGTCTAACAAAAATACTTGGGACTTGTCGCAGGAGAGAAACTTGCCCAGAAAGATCGGGACTATAGATAAGCTAGGTACGCAATAACGCCCTGTCCTAATAAAGGTTGTAGATAGGCATTAATGTTAGCCTGGAACGTAGCTGGAGCGCCCTTAAGGCCAAAGGGCATCACTTGGTACTCAAATAGTCCGAGAAAGGACCGGAAAGCCGTCTACCACCGGTCTTGCTTAGCCATACGTATTTGATGGAAGCCTGCTTCAAGGTCCAAAATGGAAAA